ATCTATGAAATAGTTTGCTATATTCTTAAAGTCTCAAAGAAAGACCTATGATGGGAAAAAATATAGAAATTCATTAAGCTTGTATTGTTTTTAGTTTCGGTAACATGCTGAACTTTGTTGCAGGTTATGGAGGATGGGCAGATATCTGTGCTAAACTTGAGACCTGCTACTAGCACGCTTAAACAAACGGAGGAAGAGCTAGAAAAGAACGAGGACAGTGAAATGGATGGGCCTCATGAAAAACCCAGAGAGCAGTGTCCCAGGTAGCTTGGCTGATTGTGTGTATGTTGTGTGTGTGTGTGTCTGTGTGTCACCATGGCAAAATGCAATTCTGGAGAAACTTAAGCAACCTAAAAATGCCCTTTTGACTATTATTTCTGTGTTTACATGAAACAGCCATTATGTAATAAAGTTGTAGTGACTACTGAGAACTTGTATGTCAAAATGTCAGCAACATCCACTCGTATTTCAATTGTTTTTAATTGTCCACAAGATCAAAGAAAAGACAATTCACAGGGCATTTAGTAAGAAAACTCTTATAAACTGTATTTGTTATGTTTTTTTTTACTCTCTAAAAGAAAGGTAGCAGAAATGAATGCCAAATAACTAAACTGATGTCCGGCATTGTTGCTCACAGTCTGCAAACGTATTTTGTCTTCCAGGTTGTTTCTGGTGCATGAGGATGGCTCAGGCACTGAACTGCTGAGCTCTCAAACTGTAAAGGAGCTGCTCTGCCAGGCGTACTTGGACCCTACCATAGCACTGTTGAAGGAACAATTGGCAAACACACAAGGTTTAATGTCTCCTAAATCAAGAAACAACTGGACTGAATAAAATTGTTCTGTGGTTTTTGTTAAAGAATGTCCCCCAAAAAACATCCACATAGTGTATAATGACAGTTAACTGTCTCTAATGTTGAGTGTACTTTTCTCATTCTGTTACATCAGGAGATGGATAAAAGAAACTATTCAGTTAACCAGGAAGTAATGTGAGGTTTGTGGGTGTGTCTGTTCCAGATGAGTTTGGCATCACTATCCTAAAGCCCAGCCACCAGAGTGTGTGGTCTCAGTGGTTGCTTAACAAACAGAACCCTGAAATTACACCTCCCAACCTCAGAAACCGCAGCTGGCATGACTTCCCCGCAGTAGAAGTATAGACATGCTTACACATATCACACACACACACACAGAAACAGCACTTGAAATCCATTT